GTCAGGCTGGGTTAGAAGCGGGGGGAGTGCAGCCGCCACGGCCCCCCACCGCACGCGAGGGCCGTCGGCGGGCTAAGCAAGGGCAGGGGCGAGGGTGGCCTGGAAGGGCCGCCGGGGGCTGAGAGCCCGGACGCCTCGTCTCCGAGCACAGAGCATTGACAGTGGAACCTTTGCCGTTGTGTTTGTGATTTCTCCGCGTAGCTTTGGCCAGATGTCGCGGGTTGGATGCGGTGCGCCTGGCCCTACTGTGCGCACACGTGCGGGGCGTTAGGCCAGAGGTTGTTGCTAGGACGGGGCTGACGGGGACGGTTAGAACCTCGGGTTAAGGTTAAGGAGCTGAGGGTGGGTCCTGCAGCGGGAAGGCCGCCTCAGCGTCTAGCCATCGGCGATCCGGAGCGGCCGTCACGTCCCCCCTGCGGAGAGGGAACAGCGTTAGCTGCTGCCCGCGTGTCCCCTGCCTGGAGCCCCAGCCGCAGTCCACTCAGGTCTGTCCCCAGACACGGCGCCTGTGAAGTCGCCTCCCCGGGGGCGACCGCAGGACACAGCCCTGTGCTTCTGGGGCTGAAGCCCGGTCTCTGCTGTTCCGCGCTCCCAGGGAGCCCTGGACGGCTTCGGCTGCAGGTTCCGGGGTGACCCGGACGAGCTTGCGTGTTGTGGGAACACAGGCCTGGTCACCAAGTCCCCAGATGGGGGGCCGCAGACTCCGAGGGTCTCCCCCGTCCTGGCCAGCCCGGGCATTCAAATCCAGCCCCCCGTGCTGATCCCTGCCGGGGGCACACGGCCGGTGTCGCCACGAGGCACACGCGGCCCTCCGTCACGCTGCCCTGGAACCCCGGGGACTCCCCCGCTCAGAGTTGAGGGCGAAGCTTTTGGGAGGGTCACAGGCCTCTGGGGGGCGGGCCTTGCCCTACCACGCCGATGCTCGATGCTCGGTCCTCTGTCCCCTTTCAGACCCTGCCGGTCACTCCGTGTCACTCACTCTCGCCACCTCCCTCCTCCCGGAACCTGCTGAGGCCTCTTCTGTTGTCCTTCAGCCTGGAGCACTGTCCCCAGTGTGTGACTAGCAAATGCCACCTGCTCAGGGACACCTTCTCTGGCCACTCTCCCCGGAGTGGGAACCGCCACTCGGACACACGGGGCACACCTAACTCTTCCGCCTCCCTGCCTTTTCCCCATGGCACTGAGGCGGCCCTCGTTCTGCGACCCCCACCGAGTCAGTCCCTCCCGGGCTCCCGCACCTGCAGGCGGGGCCTGCTCACTGAGGATGTCCTGTCCCCACCTGTCCCCACCCCCCAGCCCC